TGGTTGTCCAGGGATTGGGCCGTCGTGGTCTCCGCCCACAACCGCCACCCAAATCACAAGGCACCGGCCCCTTGTGGGCCTTCCTGCGGGTGGTGGGCCCACTGGAAAGCGGACTCACGTCGCTTGTTCGGGCTGAGCCCGGCCGAGTCCCGTGAGCAAGGACCCGGCCACCAGGCGCTCGCCTGCGAGCCCCAACCCCGGGCCTGGCTCCAGAGTGGGGCCCCGGTGACGCCAATCCGGGCGACGTGATTGAGTGTGTACAGTAGGATTTGTTTCTCCATTAAACCACTAAACGCATTGAAATACGTAAAGTGGATAGTGATGAGGAATGTAAAACATCCATTAGTTAAATATTAAAATAATGACCAGCTGATGCGGACGACTTCAGCTGTCACCAGTCTGTAGTTCCCCGCAGTGCTGTTGTTCTCTGCTTCCTGATGCCAGACATTTTCAGTAGAAGACTGATCTTATTAGCATCCTCTTGTGCTCCAGTCCTCAACACTCTTTTACATTATTAAAAACAGCAGATGTTGAAAATCCTAATGTCTTCGCTAAGGGCGCCAACTATGTGGTTCTTCTGGGAATCCTGGGTTCAATTCCCAGAGGAATCACATAGTTGGCTCCTCCAAGGGGGGGGCCTGTTGCAGCAGATCTGCTGTTAACACAACAATTCCCCCAGTGTGGGATCAATAAAGTCAATATAACTAAAACATTAAAAACAAAAACAAAAAAAAACTTCCACTGACATTGTTTCATCTTGACACCAAGTCGTGGGGCGGGGCACAACTTAGGTTGTGAATAGAGAATCTTTGGTCAATGCTCTTTTTATACACAGTCCTGGTTCCCAGACATCAAACAGAGTCCTTAAGTATTTGGCTAACTAGAAAAGTATCATAGCAATTTATCTAGCAATTTTTTAGAAACTAAAAATCATAATTGTCTCAATGCATTAAAAAAACATATTTTTCCTGCAAGTTCAATCAATCAAAAAATCAAGTGGATCTTCACTATATCTGTTCATTCTATAAATATATTTTAAACTAATGTTATCAGTCATTCTTAGTTGCGGTTTCATGTCACAACAGTTAGTTTTGTGACATGAAAGTAATTTTCAAATCTGAAAACCATTATTTTTTTTTTCAGATTTACAAATGGAAAATATTAAAGGATTTTTAGCCTGTTGAAGTTGAATCCGGCAGTGTCACATGTTTGTTGTCTTTGTTGTCAGACGATGCGCACCATCCGCCGTCGCCAATGCTACCCTCCCACCTGGAAACGCTGGGTATTCTTCCTTTTCCCCGGCACCATGATCGCCATATCCGCCGTGGCCCTCTACGCCTTCGTGGAGACGGAGGAGAACTACTTCTACATCCACAGCATCTGGCACATACTGATCGCAGGCAGCGTGGGCTTCCTGCTGCCGCCTCGCGCCAAACCCGACGCCAAGGTGACCCCGCTGAAGCGGAAGCGGGGCTGCGGCTATCAGCTGTGCGTGAACGAGCACGAGGAGCTGGGCCTGGTGGACCCTGGCATTATCTCCATCAACAGCATCTGTACCAGCTGATGAACTCCTGGCCTTTGATCCTTAGAGACACTTAATTGCCTTCCGTAATTTAGGAAAACTCACAACGGGAAATTAAGCCACAGAACTTGACAAAGCTATGTAAATACTTTAATGCTACAAGAGAATTGTTTTTTTGTTTTTTGTTTTTTTTTTTTCGTTGTTAAATATCATGGTACTTACTATCAACTGTAATTATTATTTTTATTGTTATCTACAGTTAAAGTTGTTCTGATAAATTGTGGGTGTACAGTGACCAGCTGTTTTGTGTGAATATATATTTAAAGTCCGAGCTGAAACTGCTATCTGATGGTGACTGTAAAACTGCTTTGTTTGGTTATTTATTGGTGTCCTGGCAAACAGGCAATACATTTTTATTGGTAAGGCGGAGGTCAAGGAGGGCATCAAAGGGTCTGGCGTGTGGGGGTGGGGGGGCATTTACCAAAGGGCACGGCTTTTTTCCTGAAATTCTTTCTGAACATACTGCTTTTACACAATCTCGCTGATTGTACTTGGGAACTATTCCAAAGTCCAGCTGCCTTTTGGGGGGGGGGGGGGGGGGGGGGGGCAGAAGGGCAGGGCTTCAAAGACCTCACTTTCTTGTTTTTCTCTGTAAGGACCCGTGTGACACTCTCTTCATAAACAATAAATGTTTTCTTTCCTCGCCTCTTTCTTTCCTCGCCTCCGTATCACTTCTCGTTCCTTAATCTTTCAGTGCAACTGGTTAAAAAAACCTCTCTACGACGACGGTAAACGGCAATTCCCGGGCCCTAATGGAAGCCAGTAGCGCTCCAGAGAGTAAGATGAGATGAGATGTTAGCCGCGCCTCACACAAGAATAGAACAAGAGATAAATAATTCTACGATGGGGGGGGGGGCAACGGAGCATACTAATGTCCAACCTCCCCTGCCTCAGAGAAGAGAACAGAGGCAGAGTTTTAGGACTCTTTATTAGAAGTAACCTTGGTATTTATCATTGGCTGTAGACCAGGCTAAGGTTAAAGGCTCTTTTCATCGTATCGTACCAGAGGAGAAGAGATACGCTGTACTGTTGTGGTGTTTAGAGCTGCTGCCTCACAGCAAGAACATCACGCGTTCATGCCGTTTTGTGTGACGTTTCAGTGATCTCTTCATATATAGGTGGGTTTTTTTTTGAGTCATCTGCAATACTCATCTGTACATAAAATATTTTTTTTTTACCTTCGATGGAATGGCAAACAAACATTTTTTTTGTGGAATTTTAGGGACGTCTTTGTCAAAAGGTCACGACCTGCTTCTTGGTCGTGTCGAAAGACTGAAATCCAGAAATCATTGTATTGTGTTTGTGTAATTGGGTTGTGTCTGTTCCTAGTCTGTTCCTGGTCAAGTCTGTTGCTGTGCTCAGCTCTGAAAAAAAAGGTAATTTAATCATTAAAATACTACATACAATAGTACAACAGAGCAAATGAGTACAGTTAATGAATTATTTTTCTTTCGGCTTTGTCC